CAGTTTCTTTACGTGTAAATTCACAAATAAAAGCAGTGACACATCATATTTCAGCCCAAAAGAAAAAGCTGGGAGAATCTGGCACCTGTGCTTGAGGCTTGCTGCCAAAACACCCGAATTCTAGTAAAAAAGGTACAGCAGCAACTTTGTTTTGATAGCACAGAATACATCTTAAGTAGACCTAGGACTAGACACAGCTCCTCTGAAGCTCCCTCTCCTATCCTCGTAAAGGCTTTTACAGAAGTGAAGAACACATCTAAGTATCAGCAAAACTGAATTTAAAATTTGTATTCAAATAAAATTTAAAAAAGGCAGAGATCAAGCACAGAAATAAAGCAAAGTCAGCAAATGATACTAATTAACTGCTTCTTCCTGAGATGCTAGATACCAGAAAGTGTGGTCTCCTTAAGTCCTGAGTTAAAAAATTAAATATATTAAAAATAATTTTGTCATGATAGCATGGAATTACGTTTGTATTTATTAGACTTTTTTTAATGTTTTATGCCATCTTCATAAACCACTCCGAGTTACTGCCCGGAAAACATTAAGTAGCCAGTACTCCAGAGACAGCAGCATGGGGGTAAAGGCCTTTCCCTGACAGCCTGCTTGCTGGTTTGGCTCTGGTTGTTTCAGCACAGACTGCATTTATCTGACTGCAGCCACAAAGCAGTCCTCAAAGCCCTTGAAACAGAGAAAGCTCCCACAGAAACCTGCTGTTCTATAACCATTTGCAATCCTTAAGCGTACACGTATGTATATGCATACAAGCTGCATGAGCATTATAGAAACCGGAGAGCCAAAAATCTGCCTGGTTATAACGCGATTATTTTATGATCCTGCTCCCCTATTGAGGGCACAGGTGGAAAGGAGACCAATCTGTTCCTGACCTAACAACAACTCATTACTCTCATCACACGGATCTCTCCTTGAAATGTTTATTTTTAACTTACTGCTTGCCATTAAAGATTCTAACCCACAGCCTCCTGCAAAAACCTTGCTGAGGCCATGGAAAGCATTGCTGTCTTCAGCAACCTGTCCCACCGCTTTTGGGGCAGATCACCTTCATGCAGCCCAGTCCAACAGGAGCCCCCGCAGCTCTCAGGGTGCAGGGTGGGATGACAGAGGAGCCCAGTACTGCTGAGGGAAAGGAGGCGAGGCAGGGCCCTGCTTCATCCTGTTGCTGGAACAATTTAAACCGCCCCAGGTTTAGTCAGTGAGCATGAATCAGAGATTTAAATGGCAAGCTGCGTTGAAAAGGATCCATAGGGATAGGAAATAGGAGGGAATACATCTTGCAAAAGGACACAAACGCCTTAAGATTTGATGCTCGTCATTTAAGCACAAATAAAGCACAGACATCCAGTACCACAGCAGCATCAAGCAGTGCCTGGCCCCCAAAGCCCCAGGCTGGCTGCCCTGCACAGCGTACCAGGAGAGCCCAGCCGAGGCCCCAGCAGCTCCTGCTCCCTGCACAGCTCCCAGCCCCACCACCCCGGTACAGCTGCTAACGAGAAGCTGCATGCTGCCACCAGTTAATAAGCATTAAGAGCCTGGGGCTGCAGCAGACCTCTTGCAGAGGTCAGAACAGATCCGCCTGAGCGCTGGAAACATCATCTGTCCATTTACAATCATAAATTTAAACATCACACAAGAGCAGCTTTTAAATAATACATGCCCAAGTATAAATAACACTTGAGAGATCATTCAAGGGCAGAAACCTTCACTGGATGCAGGTATTCAAAGACTCTCCTACCTAACGCACGGGAAATGTGAAATACCTGCATGCTCTATGAGTGATGCACCTCGTTGTCTCTCTGTCACTCCATCACACTTTCCCAAGTCCAACTTGTCATGCAAATACTTCATTACCTGGACTTCATCCGTGAAGCATTTGAGCTTATTCAAATAATTTACAGAAGAAAAACCAGACAACAGGCAGATGTATTCCATGCCAAGAAAAGGCAGAAACAAAAAGCAGTATCGTCAAGATGCAGAAATGCCCTCAATGCTGACATCTCTGAACCTCCTCAAAAACTTCAGTTTGTCCATTTTTCTAATATCACAAAAGCTCTAAGCTCACAAAACTTAGATTACGGGCCGGGGCAAATACCAAAGTAAAATCTCTTTTCCTGGCAATCACTACATGTATAGAAGCTTCCTTTCAATCAGAACCATCTGTGCTTTGCTCACAGCGAGCTGCAGGGTGATGAGCACGAAACGCCCGCAGTGTTTCTGCCACATCCTTCTCAGGAGGGTTACGTCTGGCAGGAGGCAGGGTAAGATGGTGATAAAATCCCAAAGATCTGCAGGCATTTCCATGGCCTCAAATAGCATTTCCCAGCTTGCTGCCAGCACAGCTGAAAGCACGAGGGCCTCCTTCTACTTGCCCGTGTCGTTCGCAGTACTTTGATAAAGGAAACGCCCAGAGAAATGGTGGATGTGAAGGTGAGATGAGTGGTTGGCAGTGTTTCCTTAAGGCTCTGCTGAGGAAGAGTGCCCTCAGCAGCCTTTCCTTTGCTCATGCACTGCCCTGTTAGCGCCTCAGGCCCGTGGAGCCCCGCTTGTGTCCTCTGGAAGGATTTTCTGGCTATCGAATGGAGAAAGTAGTCAGTATACACTACAAAGAAATTGAGATGTATAGGTTAAATAGGGGGAAAAAAACAGGTTTTATTTGAGCTTTGTATTTGGCTTAGCAAACATCGCACACTCCTCCCTCCCTGCAAAGGCAGCGCCAGCCGAGCTGCTGCTGGCAAAGGCTTCTTCCCACTGCAGCAGCACCCCAAGGCAGAATACAGACATTCAAATAGCAGCACAAAAATCCATAGATGTGCTGGCTGGGCTACAAGTGTATCAAAGAATCATAGAATCAATATGTAATATGGAAAGATGAAAGAGCTCCATGTTGAGAACCAGCTGTGGGATAGTATACAAACTAATTCATTTCCCATCAACTTGATATCCCGTCACAGCAACTGTCTTTTGTTCGTATTGAAACTCTGCTTGTCTTATGCAGAATGATAAGCTAATGAAACTGCAAATCATTGTGTCGATCCATGATTCTCAACAACCAATTTCTAATATTGACTGGCATGTCAATTTACCAAAAAAAGCCATTTTTACTAGCTCTGCTGAGGGTGAAAATAAAGCACAGCTACAGATACTCAGTTGGCAAACAGTAATGAAGTAAAATATTTGGAAGAACAAAATAAATGCTATTTTTAAAAGGTCTTCATAAACTGTACCACAAAAGGTGGCTCATTAAAGAACAGTGAACTGTTCAGCAGAGGACACACAAAGATTCTGCCCAAAAATAAACCTAGCATGACACCTCGTGCTTTACCAAGTACAATCACAAGATGTGTTTGTAAGCAGAAGTGGGGGAAAAAAAAATCTTACTATGAGAAAATCAATAAGAAAGCATTTAAAACACCGCCTTATGCTTTTCGTGACCACCATTTTCTTGCTCTGTAAAGAGTATTTTAAGGGGAAATCACCTGGCTGTTTCAGGAAATAAAGCAGCACGTGGTACTCGGTGAAGAGAAAGTCGCTTTTCTGGTGGCACTTTGGCTGCCACTGCACAACTGGGGTTCTCTTGCCTTTTAATACAAGATCATGAAACTTTATATAATAAAGACAGACTGAAAATCAAAACTGACAGGTCAGGAGAGTGAAATTTCTACTGGACTTTTTTTAAACCCACCAAAACATCCAGCCCTATCATTTCTGGAAGAGAATTCAGCACCAGCTGGAGTCTTCAGACAGCATCAGTAAAACAGCAACAAACCTCCCTTCGATAACATTTGAAATCATGAGTTTAAAAAGCACTGCAAGAAAATGAAACACACTTACTAAATTTAAAAATTCATGTGACTGATCACCATGTCAAATTCCGTCATCTAGGGAACAGCACCAGGAAGCAAAGGCTTGAACTTGGCTGCGGATAATTTGACATACTCCAGGTTTACACAGAACGGGCTGGAGTGAGTGAAATTCTGGCTTCAGATACGCAAGTCAGCGCTCTTGCACCACTGTTATATTGAGATTCAAAGAAAAAGAAAGCAAGGAACCTGGGTACCTACAATTCATATGCAGAGTAGGGGATTTCTGCCAGGTCCTGTCCCTTCAACGCCAGCCTGAGGTCCCAGGGAAGTGCCACGTGCCAGCTCAGCACATGGGGGAGAGGTTTTGCTGCCTGCCCATGGGCTGCTGCACCAATCCTACGGGGCTGCACAAGCAGGGTTCAGCAGGGTTCAACTGATACAAATGAGCTAGCTCGTGAATCTCAACATGCTCCAAGCTACAGCACCGCATAAATATGCACCTGGTGCCTTCAAGTTGGGTTTCTTCTTTTTAATAAAAGGTTCGGTCAGCTACAAGGATTTCCTAGAACTCTCCTTGGATTTCCAAAGGTCACGCCGAAACCTCTTACTGGAAATGTCAACAAAGCCCTGAGCACAAATGCATAACTATTTCATTGGCTTGAAACCAACCACGCGAGCTGGGAGGAATGAGGCATTTCCCCACTTGTTGGCCAAATCTTGTGCACCAAGAACCTAACCAGGCAGGAAAGTAAGTACATCACCACAGAGAGCACAAATACAGGCCTGGTTTTTTGAGGTGAGACAGGGTTGAACAACCTTCTGGAGCAGCCAAGGAGACTTCTGAAATAAACAGCAGCTTCTCTAAAGAAGGCAATACACACATTGCCACAGACATGAGTACATGCAAAGAACGCTACTTGCTTCTCCACAGTATCTGTCAGGGATAATCATCAGCAACAGCTCGGTTTAGCTAGAGGAATGTTTCAAGTCATATTTCAATCTGCTTTAAAGGCTGTGTGATGACAGAAACCAGCGTACAAACAGTGAGGACAGAAAGCAAGCAGTCCTAGTTCGGGATTTTAAATGGGCAATTCCAAAGTCCTTCGGAAGGTCACTGGAACCCAGAAGAACTTGCACAGAGAAGAGAGTGTAACATCAGGGAACTACAATCAGGCTGGGTTTGATATACATAATACTACTTTATTCCATAGTTTCATCTTTCTTACAGGTTTAGAAACGTACAGGGGTTCAGAACCACCTCCACAAAACAGAGAGTACATCAGTACGGGAGATCTAGAGTCAAACCACAAGTGTGCAAACGTGGTTAGCTTCCATTACAAAAAGTAATAGGCACGATATTACATATGCGTTTTGGTGAAAGGAGGAATCATAGTGCAGTGTTAAAAGGCACCAATAATCAATAATTGGGCCTTTTTTAAAAGCCAATAACCATCTAAGAAAATTACATTTGGTTCAAAATAATAATTTGTTTCATCGACTGGCATGCATCTGAACCCCTGGCAATTTATTTCACAAACCCAATGTTTGCCCTTGCGAAATAAAAAAGATTTATTCAGTGGACCTGAAAGTCAGTTCACTACAAAAGGAAATACTGAAGCTCATTGCCTGTATTTCATACCAAACTGCCTTGTTCACCTTCTCCAAGAGCTTGTCTGACAAACATCTATTCAACAACTGCACAGAAGGATTTCTCTTAAAATGAGTGCAGTGTTTTAATTCTGTAGCAATGACCTATCCCATGTGCTAGGAAAACATTAGGCACAGACCACAGCTTACATTTTCTCTTAAAAAAAAAAAAAAGTAATCTGAAAAGAATACAGGATGTGCAAGCTAGGTTCACACAAAGGATTGGCAGCCACAACAGTAAGCTAGACTTCCAAAAGAAAAGGTTTCGTGACTTATTTTTAATTTTCTAAGCAGTGATGCGCACTGCTGTGTGCAAATACCATATCTGCGTTAGGATTATTTGTGTAGACAATAAGGGAAAAGCTTTAGTACACCCTAAAGGACATCACATCAACACTGTGTGCTAATTTAGCAGGATCGAGAGAATGAAAGACAGAAGAAGTCCTTACAGGCGGGCAGCTGCAGTTACTCAGCTTACCTCGTAGGTGCCCTCAAACGAAACCCCTGCAACACGATGGGATCTAAAGATGCACGGGATGGAAGGGGCCGAGGGGGTGGAAATAAAAGGAAATGAGAGGGGGAGGTTTGGTTGTAGCAGAATGTGCCCTTTTATCCAAAAGCATCACGCCCTGCGTAGGTTGTTTGCACTGCAGATTGTCTGTGTAACTGAAAGTGGTACCAGGTGTGAGCAGAGACAGAGCTGGTTATTGATCTGCAACATCTACTGCAAGTCCTCAGGAATATAATTTACGGATAGCCACTTACTGTGTAGTTGATTGCTTCCTCGTAAATATACTTAAATTCAGAAGGCTACAGTATATTCTGACACAAAGATAGTAAGACAACTTTTCTACGAGGGAGAAAAGAGAAGGTAGTAACTAACTCGTTTATTTTGTGAGGACTCTCCTGCCATGCAGGAGCTGCATCATGCCCTTTGGAAGATTTAAGTTCTGACTTTCTCTGTTGTTTCTGCTGAATGGCTCTGCTCACAATTTCAGAGCTACAGTCAGAGTCCAGCGACCCCTCTTACCGCAGCCTTTTCTTTCCCAAAAGCACTTTTCAACTCATCTCTAACAGCATAGCAAACTATTCAAGTAAACATTTCTCCTCTGGTAAGTTCCCAGATACAGCAAACGCTATCAAAGCTCCACATCTGATGGCACGCGCCGGTGTTCTTTAAATGGAGCAGGAATTAGCCCGTTTCCTTGGTTTAGGGTCCTGTACATCCCTGTCCTTTAAACACGTGCAAGATGAACACATGGTCTCTGACAGTCTCCGTAATCCCAGCCTAAAAACACTGTTGGAGAGGCTATAGATCACACAGTTGCAGAAACTATTGCTTATAGCAAGCCACGTTGTTAAGAAGGAAAGCGCGGGGTTCTCCAACACCCTAGAGCTCTCCAGCAGGAAGTATATGATATAGGGAAGCCACAGCATGTAGAACACGCTGGTGATCCGAAACAACACCATGGCATAGCGGCGGTCAGGGCTGTGCCCCGTCTCCCCAGCAGCGTCCACTTCGTGGCTGGGAAACCGAGCCCTCCGATCGTTGATCTCTTTGGTGTGCTGCCGGCAGATCTTGAAGATGTGGAAGTACGTGAAGCAGATGACAAAGGCAGCAGGAGCGTACAGTAAGCAGACGATAAAGCCAGTGAAGTAGGCATTAGTTAGCCAGGAGGTAGCACACCACTCAAAAATATCTCCGTGGTAACCAGGTTTTCCCCAGCCGAAAAAGGAAGGCAAGAAGATCAGGCAAGAGTATATCCAAATCAAAATGATGCAGATTCTCAAGCGACAAGGTGTGACCAGTTGATTATAGGAGAGAGGCTTTGTTATAGCGAGATAGCGATCCACGCTGATGCAAGCCAGACATGCCATGGACACGCTTTTCAGCACGGAGATGATGTATCCGAAAACTTGGCACGTCAGGGACTCGTGGACGCCTGTTGAGTAGTGAAGCAGGGACAGCGTGGGGACCAAGCAGCTAACTCCAACAAAAAGGTCGGCGTAGGCCATGGTCTGAATGAAATAGCTGGTGGTGTAATGGTGCAGAAGTGGGGCGCAGTGGAAAACGAAGATAACAGTCAGGTTACCCGCAATGATCAGGAAGGTGAGCAGGACGATAACAACTGTCTCGAGGATACAGATGTCGACTGCGTTGTAGTGACCAAATCCCAGAGGGCAGGAGAGGTGCTCAGACAGGTTCACCACGCTACCGCTCATATTCAGAGTCCTCCATTCAAACCATCGCGACCGGTTCATGTTTTGTGGTGGGATCACTGTGACTGCAGGCAGCAGGCAGGTGACCCGCTCAGCAGCAGCCAGACTGCTCCAGTGTCCCACGGTCTCTCCTGCTGGCAGCGCTTACAGTTGGGAGGGTTCTACTGTCCCACAGCTGTTGATGCTCCTCAGCATCAGCGCATCACCTCTGGCACGCCTTAGCTTTAAGGAAAGAAAGAAAGAAAGAAAGAAGGGGGGAAAAAAAAAAAAAAAAAAAGCCAGAAAGAGAAAGGCCACTGATCAGTTGCTCCAGTGCTCTTGACCAATCCTTAGCAAACACAAGGCACTTCTAAAGCAAGCAGGTACCATGAAGTAGGGAAATAAAAACTGAAGAACTGAAGAGACACCTTCATTCCCCAGGGTGAGTGGCGGGGGGAGGGAGAGAGGGGAAATATCTGACTTTTATTTTCCTGAGAAAGTCATTGACTTTGGAACACAGCGGGGTGAGAGGAGGGAGGGAAGGAGGAACCTCGGCACAGCTCAGGGTTCCTGGACCAGCAGGTGCTAGAGGTCATCTTTTAACGTCTCAGTTTAAACCAGAGTGACTTGAGAGTAAAGGAAAAAGTTCATCATCTAACGCTGCCTTTTCTGTCTCCGTCTGGGAGATGGCACTCCGTCTTATCCACGCTATTTGTTAGGAAGGTAAGGAAAACACTTTTGTCAAGGTTAATTCCAACAGACTCACCACTGTTTGGGTATGAATAATGAATTTTATTTGGAGGGAGGCGGGCGGGGGACAAGGCAGGTTTGTCCTCTGACTGCCCAGGAAGCAAGCATACATCTCACAAACAACGAGGAAGATTGCGTCTATTCATTTAAAGATCAAAATGCTTTAAGAATAGAATTTGGAGACTTCTGTCAGTGTTCACAATCCCTTTAAACAGTTATCATCTGTTACAATTATCAATGCCAGAAGCATACCTCAAGGTCCCCACAGACAAAATAAATCCTCTTGAATTCTATTTCAGCAACGGCAATTTAAAATCATCATCTTTGGGAGCTCTGCTGTAGCAGAGCCCAGCGCTCAGGAGTTCACGGGTCCGGCCATGGCAGCGCTCACCTCTGTAGCAACACCTGAATCATTTCACAAACCCCCACACCACAGGGACAGAAACTTCCATCCGCATTCTGCTGCGATGCTAACGAAACGCCGATTTGACCAGAAAAGCTGCCATTGTTTACTACTCCATCATCCTGCTGTTCTGCTTCATCTTCTACGTGGCTTTAGGGCTCCTCCGTTTATAGGTGATCGGCGTGATAAATAACCGCTTAAAATAATCGTTCTTCTAATTGCAGGACGTTACCTTGCTCACTGTATTTGCAGCTGGGCAGAAAGCAAACATTAACAGAAAGCATCTTCTGGGTTCAGTTTTAAGTAAATGCTCGATTAGTTCCGGAATCGTTAGGCAGGTAATTAATTGTACACACTCGCGGTTTCCGAAAGGCCCCAGAAATGCCAGAACCGCCTTCAGCCGAGAGTTCTGGAGCCCGGCGGGGGGAAGTGAGGGATCCACACACACCGATCCCAAGGTCATTCCGGTATTAACGCCGGCATCTGCTTTAAGTCTCCGCAAAAGTCCCCGGTGCGTTCGGCAGCCCTCGCTGCGTCCGCAGGAGGGATTTCAGCTGCCAGAAAAGAAACATTTCCTCCAATCCTGTCGCGGCACTTTGAGAGAAACCATTCCCGTCGGAGTTAATTTCCTGCCGCGCATCCCGGCGCCGCACACAAAGTCCTTCGGATTGCAGAATATCGCCGGTTATTCCCTCGTCTACGAGCGGCAGAGAGCGCACAGAACCGTTACTTTTTTCTCCGCTTCTTTGTTACGGCACCGAAGAGAGCCGCCTCCCCTCCGCGCATCCTCGCCGGCCGCCGCCCGCCCGCCCGCGGTCTCCCGCTCGCCGTGCTGCGGCTGCGGCCGCCGCCGCTCCGTTCCCCGCCAGCGCCGCTCGCACCTGAGCCGCTCCTCCCCTCCCCTCCCCTCCTTCGGGCCGGCGCTGCGGCGCCCAGGCGGCTCGGGGCGGCGGCGCCCCCCGCAGCGCAGCGCGGGAACGGCGGCGCGGATGGACGGACGAGGCTGAAAAGCCGCGCGTGGGAACGGGGCCCGGCGGTGCGAGGAAGTGCCCGCACAGAACGACCAGAAACCTCGGTCATCTACACCTAACTTTCATCTAATGGTGTCGGAGTCTCCGTGTAACGCCTGCAAGTGGCTAACTTCGTTAACTACGTGCTGTGTCCAACAGACAAATATATATATATATATATATATATATATATCAGTCTCCTAAACATCCATTATTTTTATACTGAAGTTAGACTCGTTTTAAAACTCATCTGCAACTACACTCAGTATCACACCCATCTGCAAGTACAGATGCACAACTGCAGCACCCCCCATTTCCCAAGCCCCCATCACAGACACACAGAATGGTCCGGGTTAGAAGAGACCTTAAAGGATCATGAATCTCCAACCCCCTGCCACATGCAGGGCCTCCACATTTCATACCAGCCCAGGCTGTCCGGGGCCCCATCCAACCTGGCCTTGAACACCTCCAGGGATGGACGGGGCATCCACAGCCTCTCTGGGCAGCTGTTGCAGCACCTCACCACTCTCACATCAAACAACCTCCCCCTGACATCCAACTTCAATCTTGCCATCCTGCTCCTGCTGGAGGAGTGGGCTGCATCCAACCCCCAGCTCCCCATGCTAAATATCCATATAGAGCCTCATCAGCCTGCGGGGATGCTGGGTGCCTTTAGGCACAGAGATAAATGGAAATATGAAAATACCAACCCGGTACTTTAGGCTACGGATCAGCAAAATACATGTGTGAAGAATGGCGTGGGAGAGTTTGACAAAGGGATTTCAATGCCATAGCTCCGAGCAAGGCAGAGGCAGGGCTGCCATACGCAGCCTGGAGCAAGAACTGCAGGCAGCACATTACAGCTCCAGTGCTCTAAAGCAGAACAAAGTGTGGCTGTGTGATGATGGCAAGTATGAAGGATTGAATAAAACACAAGAATCAGCCCAGGGCCTCAGAATGGAGAGTGGCTGCAACACAGAATGCATCCTCAGAGCTGGGCCCCACGCAGGAGTGTCCATTAACAGCAAACTCCACTGGCTGGTTTTCAGTGCAGTGCAATGAATGTCGCCTGAATTATAACAAAGGGGATGAAGTAAGGGAGTGGACATCGCTTATTTGTGAATAGATTTCCTCCACGGCAGCTATAAGGGCCCTGCTGCAAGCTGCCAGCAGCCCTACCCTGTGCTGCTCTCTGCCTTGCTCCCAGCAGCAGCTCCAAGAGGCAGCACTGCCAACAGCAGCAACCCGACTGCTCCAACTTGAGCAGCATTTCCCACGAGTTTGAAGGCTAATGAGAATTAAAGCAGAAATCAGCTGTCCTGTCCTGATGGAGCTCCGCGATCACAGGCAGAGATGGAACAATACTGCAGCGTTTCTTCACAGGCAGAACATGAAAAAGCTGCATGGGAGAAGCTTTCTGTCTGCACATTAGTGACACAAAGATTCTGGCACAGTTCTAAACAAAGTGTGCTTCGGGATTTTCATATTTGCATCTAGGGGAAAGGAAGTGAGAAAGAACAATTACATTGGGCAAAGCCAAAGGCTGTTACTCAGGGGTATCTTACAAGCAGAATAAGTCCCGTAGCTGGTTCTGTCCAGCAAAGGGAAAGAGCGCTCCATCACTGAACAGAAGCAGCGATTCCACACCTTCCTTATGAGTTACATCATCTAGATACAACAGAAGCTGCCAGCCAGAGCAGGAGGCGCGCACCACCCAATCCTGATAAAAACAAACAGAGGGGATGTGGTGGGAACTTGAGCTTCAGGGCTGTGAAAGCAGCATGATGTGTGTGACCCTGCGAGGAGGTGAGATGAAGCTTCTCAGACAGAAAAAGTCCACACAGAAGTTGATTTAGGAGCTCCAAGCAAGAAAATAATCTTTTTCCTGGTCTATTTCCGGCTTCAAGTCTTCCAGGACTCTGCTAGAAAACTGGATGGTCAGCTGACTAAACGGTCAACTACATTTGCTCAATTTTTATTTATTTATTTTTTTAAGCTATTGATTAGAGCAGGGAGATGCAGGCAGGAGTGTAGGATAAGGAACATCATAGTTACTTATTTAGATGCAGACCTGAATGACATTGTTGTTAACAGCTCTCTACCAGCTCGACGCCATCTCTTCTCCTCAGCTCCTCCTATTGTTTTCCTCTACCCACCTTCAGAGCCTATAGAACAATGGTGTTTCTTCAGCTCACTGTACTTTTACCTTTACTGCCTCTGGTATTTAGTGGTCCACAACATCATGTGAACACCCGTTTTGATTTTAGTGCCTCCAGGAAAACATTGCTCTATCAAGCCTGCAGCTTGCACTGCAACCTAAAGCAGCAGAGGTGGAAAAGAAATGAGGATCTGCATTTTATAACACAATGGCCCCCATACCCCAGTGACTGCAGAAAAGATCAAGTGATGAGATCCACGATGCCAGTTTTGGATAACGGGCTGGAAGGAGACAGCAGCTTTCTGAAAGGTCAAGGTGCAAAGGATGCAGAAGGGAACTAGTGATCATTTTTCATGCAAGCTCTGGTGCTGCCTGCTCCTCTGCTGCACTCATTCCGCCTCCATTGCTGCTTCTAATGTGATAAATATTAGCCAGTCTCATACAAATGTTAGGTAATTACCATTCTGCCATGCAGAACGAGAAATTGGCAAAAACTATCATTTCTGTGTTGTGATGGATCAGTACAGAAAGCTGAGCATTCATGTTTGCAAGTTTCCTGTGCAGCCCTTCCATGCTGTTATTTAGCAATTACTATCAGCACTTGTAAGGTTTGAAACTTCACAACTGGCTACCAACAGTATTCTTGTATTTAATAAATATTGAGCAAACTCATTGAGTAAAATGCTACAATTTCCTTTCAAACATAACTACCTGAGACTTGGTTATTTTTCTGAGTCCTACATTCAATAAGACTTTCCTTTGGAAGAAGGTTCTCAAGATTACATGATAAATTGAATTCACACACTCAGTTCAGAGCAACAAGCCCTCCCAAACTTCTGAGCTTCAACTCAATCAAAATAAAACACCCTGGAGTAAACCATCCATAAAGAAGTGAACTTTCCTCAGGGAAATG